ATGAAGTAAGTTATGCAAAAAGGTAGAATTCACTGATAAATCTCTATTATTAGAATGAAGAAAAGAAAGATAACTAGAAGTACCCTGAATATTGAAATGTGTGTTTAGGAAGCCAGACAATAGTTTCTATTTGAAAAGCTGAGAAATCAACACGCAGAACTATTCCACCTTCAGTTGTCATCTAAAGAGACATTGAATAGTTCAGCATCACTTTACCAATTTTATAAAGTTTCAGAAGTGGTGAATTATCAGTTGAGTAATGAAAACAAAATTAAAAAGAAGACAAAATACAATTTTGGAATTTTTTTTCTTAAAAGTTTCACTTTCTATAACTGTGCTATTGTACCTAGTAGTATTGTACATGCATAACAACCTATCACTAATCAATACAATCACCTGATTACAATAACGTTCACGAGTAAATGAAATATTGCTTGCAAAGTTGGAAAGAAAAACATTAAAATACATTAATAACAAGGCCATAGTTAAAATGACTAAGTTTGGGTTCCATCTGATTTCTTGTTATTGCTTTGTCTATGCACAAACTAAACAAAGGATCTCAATGGCTCGACGTGACCTGAAGTGATCCAATTTCCAAATACTGAATGTGTCTTAACTAATACTAACCTTCTGATAACCACACGGAATAAGATTCAAAGATGCATGTGGAGAGTCCATACTTCGTTCTCCCAATATATTTAACTCCAGAAGAACAAGGAAGCTTGTAAGCTCACATGGTTAAGAGCAGTAGTTCATCCAAAACATATTCATGAATCAACTGTCAACCAGAGAAGATAATCAATTTGAAGTACACTAAAGTTAACTGTTGATCTCTCTTCCATTGTAAATGTTACCATCCGATGGATAATATTAATTTTGCAAACTGCCAAGAAGAGAACTTTGATTATTGAAACACAGCTGATGCATCTTTCAAAATTATTGTAAGAATAATCAACTACTAATACATTCCACCTTCTATTCTACCCTTGTTTATCACGATGGTAGTGTTAAAATAGTTCTCACCTTAGAACTTAGATGAAAATTGGAAGTTACCAGCGACTAAAAATGTCTAATCGCTGTACAAAGCAAATGAGACAAATTATTATTATTTGTTTCTTGGGCTCCTAGTGGAACATAGGGTTTCAGTTGTACGTCTCCAGTGCACTCTCTTCTCTGCAATCTTTTCCACCTGGCTCTACGACTACCCACAAGCTTCCATTTCTTCCTCACACGGTCTCCCCGTATCATCAACGATTCGAACACCCAACTCGTCATTTGTTCTTTGGATTCTACTCGACAACCTGGTGTGTGATGTCTCCGAACCGTCTTCTCAGTTTATATCCAATCCAATCCATCTCCACTTTCTTCTGCATATCTGTTGTGCGATGATTTGTAGGTTGCTTTGTTCCCAGAGTTTCTTGTTACCTGTTCTCTCTGGTCATCTGATCTTCAGAAACGAGAGCAGGCAGCTTTTGATGAATGTCTGTACTTTGTTGGAAATGCATTACGCAGCGCACCAAGCCTCTGAACCATCACATAGAAGCACTGACATTAGTAGTGTTTAAAATTCGGATCTCGTTCTTTGTACTGAGTGAAGTGCAATAGATCTCCATACTGATTTCAGATTAATGAAGAAAGGCCTATCTTGCTGTCTTTCCGATTCAGGTTTACATCCTAATCTGTCCCTGTTCCACCTGTAGTCGAAACGATGCGGCCTAGGTAGGTGAAAGAGACTACTTCCTTTAGGTTTCTCCCACTGACGGTGATTTGTACTTGTTGTTGATGTTGTTGGTTGGGTATCATCATCACCTACACCCTCCCTACGTCCACTTGAATTCTCGTTTTCGCTGCCTTTTATGTAAACTTGTTGGTTTGTGCCTGTAGATGTTCGCGTTTGCGCGAAATGACACTAGACATAGATCATCATCTGTGGAATCCAAATATTCTAGGGTCTTTTTCATTTTATCGATCCAGCCAGCGTATGCCCAGCTTCTGGCTCCTCATGGTTTGCTGCATGATCCAGTCCGCCACAATCAGGAAGATCATTGGTGATAGTAGGTGACAAACTTGTCTAACTCCTCTCTTCACTTCAAAGGCATCACTGAGCTTTTCTTTGTGAATCACTTGGCATGTAGCATCATCACATAGCATACAGCTGCTGCTGAATGAGTTTGATATAGGTTTGTTGCACTAAGACCGTAGTAATGAAGAAGCTACCCACCAAATTACTTCTCGTTCGAGGCTATCGAAGGCCTTTTCAAAGTTGATGAAACTGAGGTAGATAGTTGACTACCATTCTATGCTCTGTTAATTGATGATGCGTAGTGTTTCAATTTGATGTGTACATGATTTGTTCTTCGTGAATCCAACCAACCAGCCTGTTCCGGTGATAATTTTGAATGGTGAGCACTGTTTAGTCTCTCCAGGATGATGTGGCCTAATATTTTGCTTAGGGTGGACAAGAGTGGAACATGATGCCTTGCCACTTCTTATAAAAACTTATGTCACCCTCGTTTTGGAGTTTGACCAGGTAGCCTTTCTTCCACTCAGCAGGTACCTCTCCTTCCTTCCAAATCTTCTGTATTAGTGGTGCAAGGGCATCCGCTGTTGTCTCTGTGTCTGTTTTTAGTGCTTTTGACGGATTTTCACCTAGTCCTATTGCTTGCGCGTATTTCAGTAACTTCTTGGTGTTCAGGACCTCACTTCTGCTTTTTTCGGAGGGCTTGTGTTCACTGGTAGTTCTATGGCTGGGCTGCTGGTGGTATTTCTGGACGAGCTGCAGGTGGTGATTGACTCAACTTTTTTGAAGTGATCAGCCCATTTTTTTTTGTTTGATTCTTCTCTTTGGTGACTAAGTTTCCTTCACTATCTCACATGGGTCTCATCTGCCTTGATCTCTCCCCTCTCAGACAGTAACCTGATCATTTGATACAATGTTGTCCTACCTGCAACTTGTTCTGCTTCATTTGTCAGTGTGTCGTAGAAGTGTCTTTTGCCTTTGCGTGCACTGTTCTTCATTTCTTTGTCCAGTGTAGTGTTTTATAGGTTCTGTTCAGTTCCTCTTTGAGTTGTTTATCTCTCTGCACTAGTTCATCTTGTGTTTCACCATCGACACCTTCCTCCCCCTCCTCTATCAGCTTCCATCTGCTCGTTGAGATCCATTCCGTTTCGTTCCTTATCTTGCTTGTTCTTCCTTCCTAACACGGTTATGCAGGTTTCCTCTGTTATGTTGCTTAATGTCCCTCATTTTTTCATGATGACTGACGTGAAGATGTGCTTTGTAGTTTTGTTCTTCAGTTCAGCTTCTGGGTGGATGTTAAACTTGAACTGTAGTCTATCACAACTTTTTTGAAGGCTTTCAACTTAATTTTGGAGGTTGCTTGCACTAGATAGTGAGCGGCCTTAACCTACATCTGCTCCCCCTTCTTCAGCTTGTATCCAGTAGGCTGCGTCTCCACTTTCCTCGAATTGAAATGAAGTCGTTCTGATTTTTAGTGTGACTTGAGACAAAAACATACCTTATTTTTCTTCTTCTCAAAGCGGTGAATTTAAGACTAACTGAAATCAACTTAAAATGCTAGTTTTCATCAGTAGTTATTAAAAATACTCAGGCAATGCAAAATACTTTACAAATGTCTAAAGATTTCTGTTAATTCGATTGAAAGTTATTCAAGAATCTGCCTACACTGCATACCGCTAAACTTTAAGTACGTATTTTGTAGCAAAGCTTACAGTTCAACTGTTAAATTTATTAATTTCCTAACATTTGCTGACAAAATGCGCTTAACTGGCATTTGCAGTTCTGATGAATATGAAATATGATGGTATATTTGAATCAGGAGGAATATCAAGGACACATTTCCCAGAATCTTTGGAAATGGTTTTATATTAAACAGTTATTTCATCATCTTTTGAGCTTCACTGTTGTACACTTAATGGAACACAAGGAGTTTAAAGCCTGTTACAGATATTTTATCATTCAAATAGCGAGCCTGTATTTATTAGTTCTTAAATTTCTAAGTTTTCAGTTACCCAATTTTGTCATCCATTCGCATCTTAACTCGCTGAAGAAAGAGTCAATTTTACAGATCACAGCTTTCAGTTAGAACTGCACGAAAATGAAATAAAACCTCAGCTTCTTTCCTCCTAATTATTTACTCAACCCTGTTTTTGAGGACTTGATCATTTAGGAAATATTTGTGATGCCTATGAGTGATAATAACAGTAAATCACTAAACGAGTGGCATTGAAATGCAGTGACTGATGAATTCCTACCATGTAGGTGACTGGAAATGATGAAGATTTAGGGCAAGATCTAATGTGATATCTGGCATCAACTATCTAAAGCTAAAACAATATGGTAATAATTCAACGGCCGGTTCCATACTGTGTACAAATTTATAATCCTTTAAAAACACAGATTTCAATCTATTTGACAAATATTGAATACGTTCCAGCATTTAACAAGTTTAAGGAGACATTTACAAATAAACTGAATACCAAAATAATTAATTCAGGTAATTTATATGTCTTTATTTGAAAAAATCGTTTTGTCTTATCTGAAATAAACAAAATGATAGACACAAGCAATATGATACTCATAAATTATGAAGTTTGATGGAGGCAATGGATAATCCATTTACGTTGACATGCATAGTTGTACACAAAGAATCATATAATTCATATTCCCCATTATATGAGGCTGACTAGTGCCTATAGCCCTATATTAGTACATAGTGATGAAAATATTTTAACCAGTTAATTGGTAAATTATAATAAACTTGAATTAAATAGAGAAAAGGCAAATGGACTTATTTCCGGTGGAATTTGTATTGCATCAAAAGAAATATCTAGCGTTTGCACCATGTGTGTTCCTTTAATCGTAAAGATCTCTGTGACAACTTCGTTTCTATGATATTATTTTAAGGAATCTGAAGAGTGTTAGCTTGATGGAATGAAAAAGTTATCATAACTGAATGACCAGATACTAATAAATCCTACTATAACTTTCTACATTCTTCTGTGTAAAGTTTATCCAATATAGGATTTAGGTTGCCATTATAATGGAGAATTAAACTGTTCAAATACATATCGCTCTGCTGAAAACCCATTTGGCGTAACCTAGTGATTATTCCAGCAGTATCAACGTGTGGCTTTCCTGCTGTATTTGGCTGTCTAGGTAAGCTAGTCATTGAAGATGTTAGTCGGGTGTTTTTAGGTTGAATCTGTTTGGCAGCATGTGTGCTGTAATACACATTTGTGAGGACATTCCGCATTGAAGGATCCACTTCCCGCGGTATAATGCTGTTTTGAGTTGATGGAGGTGATGGTATTTGTGGTGGAATTGTTAATACAGGTGTAACCATTCTAGACTGAAAATTTTGATAGTAACTTAGTGTGTATGGTGAGTAAGCACTAAACGCTTGTGGTAGCTTTACACCGTGTATCGGAGTAGGTAGTGTGGGTGGATCAGGTCTAGGCGGTAGAAAACTTGGATCAACTGGTGATGCTATTAGCTGTGGTGCAGTGGGAGTAGCACAATTATGTTTAAATTTATAACTGTCAACACTAGTTTCCGGCCTGGGTTCAGATGTAGGAGCTCCGTCTACTGGCTCTGAATTTGTCTCCTTATCACTCTGTTTTTCATTATCATTCTCTTGATTTGATTGGTTCACTGTGGGGCTTTCACTAAAATCGAGATGCTCCAGGCCTTCAGGTAAATCAGGAAGCTGGAAGTCTTCACTGGCTCCATCTTTCTTTCGACTTTTTCCTGGTGTTTTTACTTCTGTCATTCCCATTGCAACATAAAATCGAATACTTTTGTTGTTACCATCAGGTCCTGCAATAGTCATAGCTGCATCATGGAGTTCCTCAGTACAGCTGATTCGGCACATGTCTTCTCCATCTAAAAAGTTTAATATAAAGGAAGTCTTAGTTAATTTTTACAAAAATATGACAGAGGTACTCATTTCTGTCATTCATTTGCAAAAATATTTCAAATAGACAGTTGAATACCAGTCTAACAACTCCTGTTTCTGGGATTAGCAACAAATAACACTCAACCAAGTTCATCGTTATGAGGTAAACAAACTCCATAATTCAACACATCAGAAAACATCATATGAATAATAGTATGATACCTCTCTATGCTTATTAACTTATTTGCATGTCAATAGGGAGGAGTAATTGAATTTCACATCTAGATATCCTTTAAAGTGCATCTTGTTGGTGCCAAAAGAGAACTGGTTTTGATACTGCAATATATCTGGATGATCAACATCCGTTTCTATCTACCGTAAAACACATATTTCAAGCAAATCATAAGGGTTTGCTGCCTAATTATTTTGGTCATAAGCATACTTGAAGCTACTGAATTCAAGGAAGGTTCACTAAATATTGTTTCTTCAACGATTAGACAGCTTAAATATGACAGCAGTGATTTGAAACCAACCCAAGGTGCACAAAACTGAAGAGAAATAATTAGCAGAATGATAAAAATTAAATCAGGAAGTTGTATTAATACGTTGTGTGACTATGAGAAATAAATTGTCCTCTGTGCGTCATCCAGTAAATTATAGTGTATCCCTCTTTGTGTGAAATAAACCACTGAAATATGGGACCTAATTTATTTTGCCTACAAGGAAAGCAATGACCACTTCTAAAGACTTGACATTACAAAAAATATGCAAACAACCTCCAAACTTCCGACTAATCCTCTCAAAGAAAATAGAATTGGAAAGTCCCATCTTCATAAATTCTCGTTTCTATGTATAAACCGACCTAGTAATTCAGTTTAGAGTTCTTTGAGAAGTAATTGGATCCTTAGTAAAGTCATGGTTGCGTGCAGTTGCCTAGTTTCATGGTAGGACGAAACAAATATCCAGGGCTCCAGAGTGTAACCTATTCCCTAACTGATGTCACTTGGTGTATCTCCCAATTTTTAATTTCATTAATGCTAACGATTATAAATTAGTCTGTGAAACTGAGACTTTGCTTAAGTCCAGCTAAGTAAATCCTGATACAAAAAACGTACACCTACATACGAACTAGTACTCACTCTTATTTGATCTTCGGTTTTATTAGGATATTAGCAACTACTACAACTGTAATATGTGTAATCCATATGTAAATCTCTAAATGCATATTCATCTCAAGGACGAACATGCACCTTGATTGTTCACACAAGACAGTGTGTGAGCTATATAAGCTTTGTAATAGGATTATACTCCAGATAAAAATTGAATTCTCAAAACAAAACCACAAAAATGGCTCTAATCAAAGGTGAATAATTCCATTTCAAATTTTTAGTATCATAAATTAATTGGCATTGAGTGATGATTGATGGAGAAATTAAAATCTGGACTGCAACAGCATTTGAACTAGCGACCTCCAAGTTGCCAGCTCGATACTATGCCAACTGAACTATTACATCCGACTACTGATCAGATTTTCACTTAACTTTCAACCATGACTCAGTATTGATTTATAACACATAGTGATGCAGTATTATTTACTTGATGACGTTTCGAGCATAAATTAATGCTCATCATCATATCAGTGTAATCACACAACTTTCAACATTTGGTTTTTATAGTTATGTCAGTTCATATCATTTTTTTCGGTCGGTAGAATATTCCATATATCTGGTATGGGTGTTGCGTCATTTCATTACATGTACTGGGTATTGATTTGATGAACAAAGATTTAGTAATCAGTTTGACTCCCCAACTTATTTCATATTGGACTTAAGTACAGCTGCTTTATCCCACCCTATTGTGGGGTTGTATGTTTACGCATGCACTGTAGTAGCCGAGTTCTTTTCAATATTAATAATCTTATTCGGATCTATCATTCTGTATTTAACTTAATTCCTATGTCCAGCTGTTCTAGCGGAACCCAACCAGCTAGTCTAACCTATTTACTTGACCTCGCAGTCATTACATGAAATTTGACCGATTAGATCATTTCGCTTAATTGGTTCTATCGGATCATTAAACCGAGAAAGCTTATCTCTGCGTGAGTTTGTAGGTTTAAATGCCACCCTAATTCCAGCTTTGTTGAGAATCCTATGTAAAGTTTCTGATGAATCTTCCTTATAGGTTAACACAATAGAAGCTGTGAACTGCCTACTACTCATGTTGTCGCTACTATCCATGCTCGTATTACTGTTATTATTTCGTTTCTTTTGTGTTTGAAAGAATTTTTTAATAAACTGTAGGGCATAATTATTAACTATTACGGCTTCTTTTATGTACCTCAATTCCATGTTTAGGTTCTTGTAGTGATTAGTCAGTTTTCTAGCTCTACCATTTGAACATTTGACTGAACCTGCCTTAAAGGACATCAGATGGGATGACTTGAAGTCCAGATGCCTGTAAGAATGTGTCGGTTTTCTGAAGACAGTAGTATCCTGCAGTCCAACATAAGTAATTCTTGTTGTTCATTTTCTACCTCATAAGTAAATATACTGCATCATTATGTGTTATAAATCAAATAAATAAGTCTGATATGCAATTAAATCCTACCATAGTGCCAAAGTTTTACACTTACATTACTCAGTATCACTGAAAGTCTGCCAAAACGCATCTGTGTGTGATGGTCAAACTGACATAATTTATTACTATTTGTTTACATGCTTGTTATTCTCCTTTAACATACTGGATCTAATTCTTCTACCCTGGTTGGTATTCGGGATGCTATGCTGATGCAATAAGAAATATTCAGGCAATATCAAGGCATCGGTTTGGTAGCTCATGTGGCAACAGATGTCAAGCCCTCCGATCTAGTGTAACGATGAAGAATTACAAGTACATCAACAAACAGTAATGACTAATATGCGTTATAAAAGGGATGGCTATTGTACCTTAGTGGCTTGGTGGATAGACCTCTGGGGTTTGAAATGATGGGCGCTAGGTTCGAATCTCAGTGGGAACAACACTCACTGGGGTGCAGGTACATCCAGCCAACGAGTCTGAATTAGAACGAGAAGCGCGTCCTGGATTCATCTGTTAGCCGAAACTAAGTAGATTACCAGCATATAAACTAATTATTAAAAAAGTGAAAACACGTGTGCTCCAATGAACAATAGTAATTGATATTCTCAACATTTTCAGTTCAAGATAAATGATTTAAACTGCTTCATTTTTAAACTGATGATTCAAGACTAGTCATTCCGACTATATGTCATGGTTTGGCGAACTAGTATTGATACTGGGTGATGATTAAAGGTTAAACAGAAACTTGAACCACGGAGGGATTCGAACCAGAAACCACCGGGTTTCTGGTCCAATGCTTTATCAACTAAGCTATAAGGCCCGACTGCGGACCACATTTTGATTCTCCTTCAATCATGATGCTTTACTACCACTTGATCGTACTGATACTGGATACTACAATCTAAATTTTCATTTCAATCATCATCCAGTATCAATACTAGTCTGGTAGACCATGTTCCTCCCATAAAGTCAAAGTGATAACTTATATGATGCTACCCGTCTCTAATTTAGTTAGATTTGGATTGATATGACAAGTTCTGACTAGGCAACCGGTGTCAATACGATCAAGCTATAGTAACACATCACGAATTTACATGGCAGTCTGGTAAAACCTTTGGTGACTGAAGTGAAGTAAAAATCTGGTCAGTAGTCATTCCACGTAGCTTAGTTGGTCAGGCAGAGGACTGAAACCTCGGTAGTAGCTGTTTCAAACCCGGCCGCGGTCCAAATGTTTACTTTTCCCTCCAGTATCAATCCAAGATTTTCTAAAATCAAACTTTATGTCTTTTGATATTTCCAGAAAGCTCCCTCAGACAGCAAAAATCACAATTAATTGAAGCCTGTTTGATATTCAACCTGAAAAACCTCAGAGAAAATGGATGTAAGCACTGAAAACGATTTAGTTCATCGATTTCAAAAACTGACTGTTGATGTTTTTCAACTACAATACACTATTATAACAAAACTAGAAAAAGTATTTTTAAATCACAAAAATGAATGTCATGAATCAACTCTTAAATGTATCTATCTCGATGTATATCAATGCACACTCACTGACAAATTAACAGGAACGTTGAAATTAAAAAAACTTGGTTTTTAGAAGCTTTCAGTCTAATATTATCAAGGCTACTTCAAGTGGTCTGACAGGAATATGTAGCACAGTGCATAAATAAATCAGACTGAAAATAAGGCTACCCGATGAAGATACTTCTTAAGAGATTTTCTCTACAAGGAAACGAATACACTCGAAAGGCTAAAACTACTTAATTCTTTCCAATCACCTGGATATTAAATTGATAATTTAATGACCAGAAGTTATTTTCCCAGTCACAAATACACACTGTGGAATAGGAACAAAGTTTTGGATATTCTTTGTTTGTGGTGATTCTTTAGTCGATTTGGACTATAACGAATGATTTTTAAACAAAAGTACAACCACTTCGTAATTGTATTATAAGTTGTTGAGGTATATCTTTCATAGAAGAGCACCTGTAAGCCTATATAAAACAGTCTCATAAATTACTTATCAGTATAACTGTATAAAATATTTAAATCCTTAGGTCTATACGTGATATATATCTAGTTTCCAAGTTGTTTAATATGATGTATATTCTAAAAAAAACATTCGGAATACCTCAAAATTTGTTTCTCCATATTTTCCTCTGCAATGATGATAAATGTATGAACAAAAGCAGTACCTAAACGACCTCCCGTTAAATATCATTCTATAGGGAAAATGCTAAATTCTAAATGGCCAGTTCAAAAGAATCCATCCAAATATTTTAAATAATAGGTAAGTGGAATTCTACACTACAATAAATTTAAAATTGTAATTTACATATACTGAGTAGTAGACTCAAATAGAGCAAGAACATATCTACAGTACCTTTTAACTTGATGAGGCGAAAAT